TTGTTTGTTGTTGTTGTTGTTGTTGTTGTTGTTGTTGTTGTTGTTGTTGTTGTTGTTGTTGTTGTTGTTGTTGTTGTTGTTGTTGTTGTTGTTGTTGTTGTTGTTGTTGTTGTTGTTGTTGTTGTTGTTGTTGTTGTTTGTTGGTGTTGTTGTTGTTGTTGTTGTTGTTGTTGTTGTTGTTGTTGTTGTTGTTGTTGTTGTTGTTGTTGTTGTTGTTGTTGTTGTTGTTGTTGTTGTTGTTGTTGTTGTTGTTGTTGTTGTTGTTGTTGTTGTTGTTGTTGTTGTTGTTGTTGTTGTTGTTGTTGTTGTTGTTGTTGTTGTTTGTTGGTGTGGTGTTGTTGTTGTTGTTGTTGTTGTTGTTGTTGTTGTTGTTGTTGTTGTTGTTGTTGTTGTTGTTGTTGTTGTTGTTGTTGTTGTTGTTGTTGTTGTTGTTGTTGTTGTTGTTGTTGTTGTTGTTGTTGTTGTTGTTGTTGTTGTTGTTGGTTTTGGTGTTGTTGGTTTTGTTGTTGTTGTTGTTGGTGGTGGTGGTGGTGGTGGTGGTGGTGCTGGTGGTGGTGGTGGTGGTGGTGGTGGTGGTGGTGGTGGTGGTGGTGGTGGTGGTGGTGGTGGTGGTGTTGGTGTTGTTCTTGTTATTGTTATTGTTCTTGTTGTTCTTCTTTGCGGTTGCGGTGGTTGCGGTGATGGTGGTGGCGGCGGTGGCGGCGGTGGTGTTGTTGGTGTTGGTGTTGCTGCTGCTGCTGCTGGTGGTGGTGGTGGTGTTGCTCGTTGCTGTTGCCCTTTGCTTTTGCTTTTGCTGCTGCTGTTGTTCTGCGGTCGGTTATGCCCTGCGCTGTGCCAACACGGGGTGCCTTGGCCTTTGCAGCTCTGGATGGCTCGGGCTTGCACAGGGGGGATGTTGATCACAAATGGCACCAAGAAGCCAAAGCACAAATTGCAGAACCGCGCTTTACACACGCTTGCGCCGAGCCCAATGTGCTTGCTGACGCGCCTGGGAAGGTCCATGCAAGTTCAAGTTAGTTGCAAGCTGGTCGGAAGCTTCACACAAGCTTTGATCCACATCCCAGCAGCATGCAGTTTGCATGCCATTTGGCTGGGCAAAAGCGGGACGCTGCGTCCACTGCCAGAACGCATGTACACATACTTGCAGTGGCAAGTTTGGCAGTTCGCAGCAGCTTGCTTCGTTTCTCACACTATTCGTGGGGGGCTCGAAGGCAGCTTGGTGATTTAGTGCAAGTTGTGGAGAAGATTCAAGGCCCTAACCTGCGAGCTGACCGAGAGCTGCAGCGGGCCGCGGTGGCTGCGAACTGGCACATGCTCAAGACGCTGGTGGAAGAGACGCCGGACATCAGCCGCTGAAGCTGCAACGATGAAATGTGGATTAGGGAAGCAAATCAGATTTGAAAAGGAGAGCGCTTTGGTGGGACAAGGGGTGGTTGGAAGTACTCAAGCTCCATGATGCGCTGAGCAGCTGCAGATTTGCATACTGCGGATTTGCGCTTGCCCAGGCTTTGCAGTGCTTGTCATGTGGAGAAACAATAGCATGGCTCGGCCGACCAGCCGCATCCTTTAGCCACCGTCAGGCAACGACCGAGAAATTGTCTTCGACGCCGTTTGCTCCAACGGCTGCGCGCCCTGACAGACAGGGAACCAAGACTTTCAGCACTGCAAGGGAGAGAGGACGAGAAAGCAGAGGCCATAGGGATGTGAGTGCACAGACGATTCTCGGACAGGAGCACGCGGCTAAGTGGCTGAATGCCATAACCCTGGCGCATCCTGGCGCTTTTCTTTGGGTGGGGACGTCATGGCTGTTCATTGCGCGGACTTGTTCCAAGGGCCAAGGAACAGAATTCACAGTTGGTTTGATCGTTGGCTGTTGCTCGCCACCTGTTCATTGTAATTCTAATCAAGCACTGCTGAATGCTGGCGCCACAGGTAGAGGGAGAGAGGGAGGGAGGCAAGGAAGTGGCCAGACAGCTGGAGAGAGAGAGAGAGAGAGATTAAAAAACAACAACGCATAACTTGGAGTTGTGCCACGTGTGCCGATCGCTTCCGGCCGAGTCCTTGGAGTTTGCCTCCCCGGCGCTGCGGAGAGATCCGGAGCTCGTGGCCCTCGCGCTGCAGAAGTCCAGAGGCGTGGGCCTCCGCTCCTCCGCTCCCTCACTCAAAGGCCTCTAAAGAGCGCTCATTTCCAAAGCCCGAAGGTGGTGCCCGATGTGCTCCAAGATGCGGCAGTACTCGCCAACACTTCGGGGGGGGTTGCCCGCTGAGGGCGTGCGTGATGCCAGATCACCAGCTTGTGAAACGCGAACATTTGGATGGTAATAAATGTGACTTGCTTGTGGAAGGTGTGGCCAACACACTGCCAGTTTAAAGGTAAATCTCTGCTCACGCCTTTCTCTCCCACAGCAAGCATGCATTCGCCTCTTAGTTGTTGCAAGCAAGCGGTACTCTGGTTCCGTTCTCACAACTCACACTGGCCCTCTGCATCCCTCTGCAACAACCAGATATCAACCAGACTCTTTGCCAGACACAATGTTCAAAGGAGAGTTGGCTTTTAAGGCCATCCGCAACATAGGGATCTTCAATTGACCCCGGCCGCGGTCCGTTTGTATTGTCTTGCTCGTACGTGTCAGATTAGGAACATTGGCCGTCATAGCCTACAGGTGCGGCGCTTCGCTGGGCCGACGAGGCGCTGCGGAGGCGCAGGCGAGTCAGAATTTGCCGCGAGTTCAGCCCGAGAGTTGGCTCGCTCTCCAGTGGCCGAGCGCCGGTCATAGACAAATGCGCCGTCAGCCGTGGTGCCCATTTCATTTGCAGTACTGTGCCAAGTGCGTGTTTGTGGCCTAGCTTGGCTATTCATCTCTCTATTCTCGCTGAAGGACATTCTAACCATCAGGCTGAGTAAGGCATGCTGATTGTCTAGCGTGACGTTCTTTTGCTTGTAAGCAGCGTTTTGTTGTGCTGGGCTGTGCTGCTGCAAAGCCTATCCAGCATCTCAAGTTCCTGCTTTCTTGCATTGCGTATTGCTTGGAGTTCGATTGCCTTTGGAGCGTGCCAGGGACTTGGTGTGGGCAGCAATTCAGGAGGATGCTGCCAACCTGCAGTATGCTTCAGAGGACCCTTATGGCCTGAACATGTGGCACAGAGACCTAGTGAATGGAGCGAACCTTCTGCATGGTGTAAATCCGGGCACCTGCACGGGACAGGACCTTCGCGGAGATCCAGAAATTGTAGCAGAAGCTGTCAAGCGCGGCAGGGCTGCAAGTGTCATGTTGCACCATGTGTTGTAGGTATTCAAAGCGAGCACCCACCATGCAACACATCATGTGACGACGCATTTGCTGCAAGACTGATGCGGGGTACAGTATTTGGTTGGGTAGGGGGCTGGGCGGTCATTCAGGTTGGCAATCAACGGCGAGCGGGAACAGACGCGCGTCATGTTTTTTTCTTGGGTAGGTTTCGCAGAGGCTGCCTCGAAGCGAATGCCCTCCAAATGATCTCCCAAAAAAAATATCAACATGAAATGGCTGGGACACAGAAGCGCACGCTCGGGTTTGTGTGTGTGTGTGTGTGTGTGTGTGTGTGTGTGTGGGTGCGTGCGTGCCTGCGTGCCTGCGTGCCTGCGTGCCTGCGTGCCTGCGTGCCTGCGTGCCTGCGTGCCTGCGTGCCTGCGTGCCTGCGTGCCTGCGTGCCTGCGTGCGTGCGTGCGCGTGCCTGCGTGCCTGCGTGCGTGCGTGCGTGCGTGCGTGCGTGCGTGTGTGTGTGTGTGTGTGTGTGTGTGTGTGTGTGTGTGTGTGTGTGTGTGTGTGTGGGTGCGTGCGTGCGTGCGTGTGCGTGCCTGCGTGCCCTTCGGGCGGGCGGGCGGGCAGGCGGGCGGGCGGGCGGCGGACGTGTGGGCGTGCGGGCGTGCGGGCGGGCGTGCGTGCGGGCGTTCGTGTGTGTGTGTGTGTGTGTGTGTGTGTGTGTTTGTTTGTTTGTTTGTTTGTTTGTTTGTTTGTTTGTTTGTTTGTTTTTGTGGGTGTGTGTGTGTGTGTCGGTGTGTGCGTGCGTGCGTGCGTGTGTGTGTGTGAGGTGTGTGAGTGTGTGTGTGTGTGTGTGTGTGTATGTGTCTGTGTCTGTGTTTGTGTCTGTGTCTGTGTCTGTGTGTGTGTGTGTCTGTGTGTGTGTGTGTGTTGTACTTGTTCACCTGTTCGTGCGTGCGCACCCACTCAGGTGCTTTCGTTTGTTTGGCTAGTTTGTTTGTTTGGTTGTTTGTTTGTTGGACGTGTGTTCGTTTGGTTTGCTTTGTTTGGCTTTGTTTGGTTTTGTACCAGTGACTGTGTGTCTGTGGTGCTAGTGCCGGTCGGTGGCTGCGAATCCATGAGACCCTGGGACCCGATGCGAGGCAATGGCAACGTACTGAAGTTTGCCTCCCACGAGCTGCGCCGCTCCCGAGAGATCGTGGAGCTGGCGCTGCGCGCGGGCGGCCATGTGCTGGCGGTGGTGCCCGGCGCCTTGCGCTTGGGCGCTGGGGCAACGATTGAAAATCCAGCGGTGACGGGTGAAGCGGTGAAGCAAAAGGGTCCATCTGCGACTGCATTGCTGCATTGCCAATGCAATCTCTCAGGTGACTTGGCAGAAGTCCTCACTGCGGAGCTCGAAGCCGTCGACATTTTTGCTGAACCTACTTGCTAGCATGGAGAAAGCAAGAAAGCAAGAGGGCTGCCGTTGCCCTTTTTGCGATCCCGCTTTCCAAGATGTGTGCGTCAGAACCGCTTGAAAGGTCAGCAGTGAGCAGGCTGCCACCCAGCTTGCGGTCACGCCATGAGCATGCCTTTGCGTTTGCAGTCAGATGTCTCACATTATTTGGCTGGCTCAGGATCCATGTTTTTTCGACTGGGTAGGGTGCGCCCAGTCGCGGTTAAAGTTACCTGGCTTGTCAGGAATTTCAAGACATGTCAGAAGATGCACAAGACCATAAGCAGAGCAAGCAAGCAGAACATTTAGAATTACGCAAACCAGATACATCCAACTATATCACTCATAGTTCCGCACCTGATGGTGAATGAAGGAGCGGACCGGCATTGCTTAAGCAAAGCTTTCTTGCACCGCTGAGCAACACTGAGAGAGGCTAATAAAGAGATAGGATAACGATTCTTTACTTGGTTCAATAGCACCCCCCAATTGCATACGCTTGTTGAACAACAACATGCCCAGACCGCGCGCAGGACTCATCAAGACGTATCCGCCGAGCTCAACCTCTAAGAGGTCAAGGCGAGTTCCCTTAAAGGGCTTGCATCACCCCTTGCACGGCTTCTCGGGAAGTTGAAATCCTGAAGGTTCTTCTAGCCCCCCTGGGGATTGAAAGAAAAGCTTGCAACGTCAGCTTGGCTGGACCCAGGCATGCGACGAGCGACTCTCTGGCACGAGCCGGATGGAGCCAAGTTTGCAGCCTGGCGCAAGGGCAGGGTTTGAAAGCTGGGATAGGGCCTTCCTCAAAGCCTTTGTTTGACAAAGTATTCCTAGCCAGCTAGGTGTAGGGGCAGGGGCAGGAACAACGAACAACTACTATGTTCTACTCTTCTTTTGGCCAAGATCAGAATCTTGCAATTCCCCGGTGCAAAGTGCAAACATTTGATGTGCTCATATCAATCCATCAGTCACGCAGCCTTTGGGCAAATGGGGCTTTGCCCATGCAACTGCCGAAAAGTGCCGAAGGCAAGACACCCAGCGCCCCCGCGGACACCCGATTTGTTCGGGTACCAGGAGGCTGGCGACCCCGTGTGCGGCCAGTGGCAGAGGAGCTGCCTTTAGCCTTGCGCGCGCCACATGTGCCACACGCTTGTTTTTGTTTTTTTTGGCACCGCCATTCGAGGCAAAAGTCGGAAAGGCAAATCATGTGTTCGCCACCTGCACAAATCCTGCAGGGCTCACACCCTGCAATTCGGGCCTTCCCTGCAACTTTCCCATCAGGAGCACAATTCACCGCGAACAGCACATGAAGGCAGGCAGACAATGTAAACATGTTCCTTGAACTCCATACTCCGTGGAGGTATGTCAATTTGCGTTGAAATTGGGCAGGTTTGTGATCATGACATCTGCGCTGCATGCTGTTGAATCGATGAAGGTTGTCAAACATGGGTTTGGCAATTACACTGGGCCCACCAGAACGGACTTTTCTCCACCAATTGCTCCATTAGTTCTTTTGTTCTGGCGCGGACATGTCTTGCTCTAGCCACTTCTCCTTGCCCTTGCAGACGCTTCTCCATGCTGGGACCTGCGCCAGCAAACAATGCACCGGGACGCGTCCCAGTCGACCCTGACCAGCAGCGCTGGCGCCGCCTGCCTGCACTTAACAGCCTCAGAGAGGTTTCAATCCATTCGCAAACACGGGGGCATATGTACACACATATAGATACACATATACACATACATTATATATATATATATATATATATAAATATACATATACGTATACGGCATACATATGCATGCAGGCACATACATACATATTACATATACATATATATATATACACATATGCGTATACGTGTGTGTTTGTGTGTATGTTGAGGCTTGCTCGTTGCAATCGGACGGAGACTTAAGGCATGCTTCATTATCATTGCTTCATTATCATCCCCTTCCCACCCAAAAGGAGCTTCCTTTTATCCGACACTCTGGGCAAATCATTACGATCAGCTTGAGGCAAGACAAGCTAACCCATGACGAAGGTCCTGTACTTGGCGTCTCTTATTTTGGAGTCACTACTTCCAATTTGTGAATCACCTCAATTTGCCCTGGCCTTTTTTTCCACAGGGCTCCCCTGTGCTTGGGACATGAGGTGGGTGCGCGGACGAGCCGCGGCTGCCTGGCGCTCCTGCGGCCAGATGGCTTTGAGCGGGAGAAGCGGCCGTACAGGCAGGGACAGTCCGACCCTGAGGTTCAACAATTAGCCACGTAGGTTGAACAAAAAATCCGCTACTGCAGACCCTTGTGTTCAAGACTGTTCCGTTTGATTCGTTTCCTCGAGTGTTAAACCCCCATTATGATCATGGGATTTCGATCTGCGGTTTGTTCCAAACCCCGTTATCCTAATTTATTAAGGAAGGAACTGTTTGATTTCCAAAGCCGCAAGGGCGAACGAACGCGAGGTTTCAGAAGTCGACCTTTCCTTGGGCAAGTATGCTTTTGTTATGACTTCTTGTAAGTTCTGGGGGACGACTTGGAAGCATGCGTGTGAGGAAGCAAGTTTTGCTTCGCAGCAGAATTTACAGCAATGTGCTGCCCTTTGCTGAAGACTTATTTCTGTTGTTGCAGTGAAAAGTTGCTCAAGCTCGAGCTGCCAAAGTGTACTTCGTGCACTGCACTTATGCTAAGAGTTCGCGATCTTCGAGGTTGGAAGTACCGAAAGCAAAAGCGCTGCCCAACGAGTTGTTTCTGTAAAGGGAGAATAGGTAAGCCGATTGCCCGCTGTAAAGCGGGCTTTATTACAGCGTCAGCTTGCCTTGGCAGTAGTTGTCCCGGATTCGGGATCTTCCGTGTATGCAGTGGGCACAGCGGATTGTTGCTGCCAGGAGGGACCCACATTTGGCAAAGGAATTGCACTTGTGGCCTGCGAAGTTCTTGGAGGACACTGCTGTGCTTGCGCTTTTGCCCGGGAAACAGCCATCGCTCATACTGAGATTGGATCGCTCTGACAATCCTGACATGCTTGGACTGAAGTCGAAAAGATGTGGCGAAGCCACTTGAACTGGCCTGCCTCAATACGTGGAACCGTGGAATTCAGTGTTCATCCGCAACGGCAAACGGAGCCCATTCGGCTCATACGGTTTGACAACACGGCTAAGCTTCGCAGGAAAGGGAGAAGAACGTCAACAGTTTAGCGGCCACCAAGTTTGATCCGCTAGATACCGACTCTTGGCAGCAGATGTGGTGGCTTCCAGTTCACTTTCTGACATCTTGATGCGAAAATCAGTCAGACGTGTTATGTCCAGAGGCATCTTCGTTTGTGTGTGTGAGCGCGTTGCATCCCTTCATGGAACTTCATCTTTGGGAACCGTCCAGATGGTCCCGAATGCTGAATTCTGCCCCAGCTGTGATTTGCTTATGAGGCATTAGAGGAGCTGAAGACGATGCTCCAGCCGAAACGCGACAGCAGCGTAAGCAGCAGGCTCCGACCTGGGGCACGGGAAGGATTGGGTACTGAAGCAACTCTGTGGGCAAGTTGGCTGCAGCCACCTATGACTGAGTGTCAAGTTTGAGACATAGGCAGTTGCTGCCTGTGGCATGTGGCATGCCCTACGTCCGTGAGCGCTTTTGTCACGGGGTCGTTTCAATGCAGGATTTCAGGATCATGCTGAGGGTGCCCAGTAGGGTTGAGCCGCATGGCATCGGGTCGGAAACATCCAGAAGCGAAAGGGTGTACCCAATTGAGTTAATGTCCGCAGCCCGCCTAGAACACTTGGATCGCGTGCGTTAAAAGGGCTGTGATGCAGCGTAGTGACGTTGCCTGCGCAGATGAATGCATTCAATGCTAGGAATGCTAGGCTTTCATAGGCCTTCCACACGTGCAAAACATACTTTGGCTTCGCTTCTTAGGCGGGCGACGCCCAGGGAATTCCAGTCGCATAGCTTTGGCTACGTTCCCTTTCGCCTTGGAGGCGCAGCAGCCCTGCGTCCCGCGCTGCTAGCGCGCACGGCATGCATGGGCCTCATGGGCGTCGGCTCAGCTACCCGGACAGAATTCATTTTTTGGGCCGTGTTCGGCGTCAACCTGCCGAGGAGGCTGGCATGCGGGTGGCTCACCAGGGAAGTCCTTGAGCTTGCGCTAGCCCAAACAGTGCCCTAGGCCAGCCTAGGCCCAACGGCAATGGTTTGGATGACCGGCCATCCACAGCCTAGTTTCGTGCCATATAGTGCTTAATACATAGCTGGTCCGAATGCATTTGATGGTTTGTTTTCGGGAGACAGGTGAGTTGCACAGGTTGTTGCTTACACAGGTCGGTTTTTCCTAGTTTTGCTTTTCAATATTTTGTCGCGCCCTGCCTGCTTTCGTTAGGACATTGACTATTGACGCTGCTTGCCTGGCAGGAACGGCCTGATATGTCAAAGTGACATCGTCCCCACCAGGACTTTAATGTCTTAAGCAGTTTGGCAATTCGGGGCCATAGCAAGCATGACCATGAATCCATGAAGGAACATTCAGGGCCCTGGTTTTGTCTTTGCTCCCCTAGCTATGGCTCCAAGTCAGTATTGATTGAGAATTGGCTATTTGGTAGCAATGAAGGCATCGTTTGTGGCATTGTTACCCTCAAGCCGCGAGCTGCATCAATGGCGCCTCATTCCGCTAAAGGCAATCACGTTGGATGCGCCCCCCTTTCTCCCCTTCCCCCAGCTGCTTGGCCTTGCGTTGTGGGCCACATTGTTGCGTGGCAACAGCTGTTTGCTTGCTTGTTGGGAGCAAAGGGGAGTCGTGTTTGCGCCATTTGTTTGTTTAGCAACGTTGGGCATGGTCTGCTAATTAACAACCATTGGCTACAGATTGGAGGTCATAGCAACAGCTCAATGCAGACATGGGTATGGTTGCAGCTGCGTGCTATGTTGCCAGACAGGGTACTAGCCATTGCATGCGGAGTTGGATGCTGAATGCTAACCAATGACAGGGCTGGAAAGCATGTTTCCTGAACAGGGTGATGTTATTGATGATCAAGTTTCTAGCCGGAGATGCGCACGTGTTCACCGGCCTGTTTGCGGCCCGCCCCTGCCTTTATTCCATCCGAGGCATGAGAAGGATTTCTGGCGGCGAACTTGCAGAAAGGCAGCTTGCCGCCAAATTCAAGTGGTCGAGAAATACAGCTTAAAGAAGACAATCACCAATCCTGGATGAGGCTTTTGCGCCGAGCTTCTGCAACCTCCGTGGGTGCAGCCACCTCCTCGAACTCCGAAACAGACAGCTCAGGCGACTTGGGGCATGAACTTGTTGCCGCGTAGTTGAATTGCAAGCTTCGCACACCCATATTAGTTGCATGGAATGTTTCGAAGCAATGTGGGTGCGATGAAATGCGATGAAGGGGGCAAAGTAGCGTGTGTTTGGCGGTGCAGGAAGCAGGCGGTCCTGCTGGGAGGAAATATGCAAAGCACCGTTTGCTACGCAACGGCACTTTCCTTGAGTTCAAAGTTGAAAAGAGCCCTGCCAACTGTGCAAATGAGAGGGGGGAACCAAGTATAACAACACGGTCAGAGTAGGACAAGTGACGCACTCAAAAAGGGGGCTGACACGTGTTGGATTTGTTGCTGTCTGAACCCCAACGACAAGGTCCAAGTAAGCTTATGATCACGGAACCGTTTCTCAGCAAATCACGAATGTCACTATTTGAAGCAAACAGGGTAGCAACCTTCCGCGTGATGACAAGAACCCTGCCACAAGTCTGGCTTGTCCTTGCCCATGAGGAATTTGTGTTCACAGTGCCTGCAAAATACGTCGGGTTCATGCTTAAGATCCCAATGCAAGTGGGCTGAAAAAATACCCCGCGCCTTTTCGTTATGTAAGGGGCCGTCCCTTAACTTGTTTCGCAGGCCAAAACCATTGTAAACCGATACAGAGGAAGAAAAACCGATACCCCCAGAAGCCATGAAGACACACATCGGGTCCAAGTTGTTGTCGCAAGCCAAGATCGCGGAATCATAAATTTGCAGGGCCCAAACCGATACCCAAACCGATACCCAACCGATACCCAACTCAGTGGCCGCCACGCCGAATCCAACCAGCTGCCCTGCAGCCTTCCCTGGAGGTGCCAAAATGTGCTTTGTGTACCACATTTGTACTGAACAACTTGCTGCGATTTTCGAGCCGGAGCTGCCAAAGTCTACTGCGCATACTACTGAGAAGTTGCGACTTTCCAGCTGGAGCTGACAAAATGTACTTTGCGTACTACACTTGTACTGAAAAGTTGCGACTTTCCAGCTGGAGCTGGGAGCTGGCAGAGTGTACTTCGCATACTACACTTGTACGGAAAAGTCACGACTTCCGAGCTAGAGCTGCCAAAACACTGCAAACCGATGCAGAGGAAAAAACAACGATACTGACCGATACTAGGGTATAAGGATACAAGGGTTGTCCACGGGGTTGTTTTTCCAACCCAAGTGAACTGCACACAACGCGCGCAATGTTAGATGTGCCGAACGGGCCAAGAGGCTTGGAAGTGAGGAAGGCATGCAACTTGCTGGCGTGGCACGGTTCAGGCGACGATGCCTTCGCAGCCGCGCGCCTGGCAGCTGAAGAGGCCTATGCTGAGGCGGAGAAGCAGGGGCTGCCGCCCACCATGTGCCGACAGCGGCGGCAGGAAGTCTATGCCGAGGCCACTTTGCCTGTGCAAAAGTCAGTTTGCCAGCGTTTCGAAAGTGATTCGTCACTGTGATGGCCCATCTTGTGATAACACTGAGAGTTTGCGCTAGCGGATCTAGAGTGGCTTTCTTCAATTTAAGCAGGGGACATATACATGAGCACATATGAGCGCCGATGTGTAGAGGCGACTGTGCAGAGCCCTCAGCGGGAAGATAGGAACCGATGGGGCCCAGTCACAGCTTGAAAGTGCCGTCAACGCTTCACATATCGATCTATCTTGAACGCAGCTACATTCCAGACAGAAGTGGAGACTCGCAAAGTTTGGTATGCGGCCAAATGAGACGTTATTACAGCTTTGCAGCTTGACAATCCCAGCCACAAAGGGTTCGGGCGTAGGAATTGAGAGACCTGTAGCGACTGAAGCCCAAGAGTCCAAGCTTGAGGAGCCACACATCCACATTTCGAGCCTGTTGCTGGTATGCGTGAGTCGATGGGTTTACCAAAATATGTCGCCAGGGCTTCTGTGGCACTTTAGGTTGTGCTTGCTGCCAGGCACTGCTGATGCAACCAGAGATCGTGGAGCTTCAAGCAGGGAGGATGCGAGGAGGACTGTCACGTGTCTCGCGTAGGCCAAATTGCAATCGGCTAGGGGCTGCCTGGGCAATTGAACCATTCCCCAAGTCAATCTTCGAAGCAGGTGCAGTTCATTCACAATGCGCACCCTTGGAAGTCATCGTCCGATATCTTCTAGTTCGCCCGCAGGCAGTGGGCTCGAAGAGGACGAGGCATTGGCTTGCCCGTGCGAGTGTTAGCGCCGAGGCGTCGAGTAATTGACTTGAGTGTAACGCGCTAGTTCACTTGTTTCCAATGCCCAGAAGTGATTGTGATTATTTATCAAAAAGTTGCTTTTTGCGGAGGCGTGAGCGTGCGGTGGCATTTTGGACTGCAGTTGGCTTGGTCCATATCGCTGGGAGGCTAAAGTGTGAGAATGACTGATGCAATTATGAGTAGCGCGCGACAATTTATGTTTGTTTCCAATCATCTGTTTTTCGAACCCCGGCTGGTTGATTGATACGCTTCTATTTGGTTCAAATCACTTTGCAAGTGCTAACGAGTGCTAAGGCATCTCTCAGCTGTTTAGAGTTGAGAGGCCCTACATCCTCGAACCATTCTGAGCATCTTCTCACGAGCAGTTTGCCACTCTCACATTCTCGAACACGCCTGGCAGGTGGAGTCGGAAGTGGAGAAGCTCATCAAGGACCCCACAGCCTATCCAATCAACCGTGCTTGTGGATTTGTTTTCGAACGAGAGGTAAATTTACTGCAGCATACAACCAGATAGAAATAAGCACGCGGACTGGCTTTGGCAGGAAGACATTGCCGAGTTGGCCCAGCTCTTTGCAGAGTTCGACGGGAGCTTGGAAGGCGGAGAGACGCAGAGAGGTGTTTCGTCTCTCTTCTGTAGAATGGCATGTTCAGAAGTAGCAGGCTTCATTTCACATGAATAATTCAACAATTGTGCGTTTGCCGGGCTTTTCGTTACTGACATTGTGCCGGCAGTTTGTGCAGTCAGAACCAGGCTAGCAGAAGTAGAGGTCTTTTGCACAGATGAACCTGGGCCAGTTTAGTGTCTCAACTAAAGTCAAATCATGCCAAGTGCTGGCAAGTGTTCATAAATTATTGGACAAGCTGCGTGTTAAGATTCTTCTCCCTGACATGGAACTGCAACGCCGTGTTCGTCTGTTGTGCATGTCTGGATGCGCGAAGGATGATGTGCATGGAACGCAACGCGTAGCACATAGATAGTGTGTGAGTTGGCCAGGGGCTCTATGACAGGGGTCATTAACAAACACTTGTTTTGAGTTGGCAAGAGTTTGCATATGTATGATCCTAAAACATTCTAGGTTAGTAACATTTGAAGCAAGACCGCGATCTAAGAACCTGTCCTTCACGGATATGGTTTTCGGCTAGTCAAGTTAAGTTGTGCGTGGCGATGCCTACTTTGCCTGAAGCCAGAGCGGTACACGTTTAGTGTCGAACTTTTAGCCACAGGCAACTTCTCTGCCCTCCCGGAAAATTCGGGATGTTCGTCCCGCTTTCATGAAATTGCAGTGGGCGGTTGAAGGTAAGCAGCTCCAATCTGACAGCCACCATGGATTCAGAACATCCCATCGCTTGTCCACAACTGCTTGTCAGTCACCCACCCGTTCGTTTGACACAGTCGTGAGGACATACTCTTTACTTGGCCATTCCCGATGCTATGGCTTTTCAGCCGTAGCATGTAACAGAACTGGCACGGGCTGTGTAGTCCTTCTTGTGAGTATTCTGGGGTAATTTAGTTCCCTCCCAGCTTTTGACTCCATTTTATAGCATGGTCTGCCAGGGTCTGGTAGTTGTGTATACTTGGCTCAGAGGGATGGAGAGAGGCGTCATCCAGCAGCACGACTTCCGTTCGCTGCTGCGATTGCTGGGCCGCACTTTGACGGAGGACGAGGTCCGCGGACTGCTGAACTGCCTGGACCCTTTGGATCCAGACGAGCGGCTTGGCTCAGTCTGCAAGCCTGATGGGGCTCTCGAGGGCTTTTGCCGTAAAAACCACGCAAGCCTGGATGAAGATGGAACAACATTTGGTGGATTGCCAGTCCGCCACCGCTAGTCACTAATCACTATATGGGAGACCGTACCCTTGCGGTCCATTGCTTTAACGCTCTGTGGGTGCTGTGTGTGAGCATGCAGATGCTTTGGCCATACAATCTCGGGCTCCTGCGCAGGTGTTGCCGTTGGCTGAGCTACTGTCAGCCACCCAATCTATGACTCGCTAGGCTTTTCCATACCAATGGGTGACCAGCAAGCCCTTCAGCCTGCATTTTCATTGTTGGGCTGGACGGCACTTTGCTTCCAAGGACGGAAGTGAGGGGCGACGTCGGCTTCAGGGAGTTTGTGGAGCTTTGCGACATGAGGTTGGCGTCGTGTTTTGTTCTGGCACCACAACCCCACCAAGAAAGTACCATTGACATCTTTGTTTTTAAGCCTTTTGGGGACGAGTTGCGAGCCTACATGATTGGATATGACTGGCAGGGAGGGTGGCTGCCCCCTTCTTGCATTCTTAAAGTGTCCAACCTGGGCCTTGGCATGAAGTACATGAGAATGCTCCCAGCCTGATCGCCAGGTTGCATTCAGAGAAGCAGTACCTACGTTCCTTCTACCGAGAGCGTCCGAGTCTCAGCCAGGGGGCAGCGCCTGCGCATGCTTGGAAAGACCCGCTGCACTTGCAGACTTGCAAACTTGCAGGTGCAACAGGTCTCAGCATGTCTCAATAGGCTGCTTTTGAGGCAGTCTCCTTCATGTACAGGTCTTTAACGTCTTTAACGGTACCGATTTGCTGACTAACGCCAAGCCATTCTCGGAGAGGTGTAGACCCCTGCAACCTTTGATACCCTTTGGCCTTGCCGCGCCAGTGAAAAGCAATCCCTTGGGAATGACAGCTTCCGAGGCTTCCGCGGAGCTAGCAGCAACTGCATCCAGCCGCATTTGCGGGACGTGACTGATGCGCTGCAGGGTGTCAAGGCGTTGGTGCCTGTCAAACTATCGAGGAAGTGCAGTAGGGGGAGGGGGATGTGGGAATTTAGCAATGCATGTTCACCTTTCGGGTTGGTGTTTGGATGTGCTCATTGCAACACCGGATGGAAGCACCACACGCCATCGCTTGCCTGGTGTGAGTTCTACAGGGTCGTCCTGAATGTGAGCAGATTCCCATTTCACAGGTGCATGCGCGGCCGGAGCAGGTGGAGCGAACTGCCTTGGAGCTCGGAAACTTGACTTTTGTGGCATTCTTGCATCTTGCCACAAGGGCCTTTTCAGCAGGACTTGGGAAGCTATTGCACAATCTTACGCATGGAATATCACGGCGTTCAATGCCTTCGTAAGTGGAAAAGCGTGCTTTGCTTTGCCTAAGTGGGACAGCTGGTGGGAACACAGTATGTCTACATGGGCAAATGTCTGGGCATTTGCATGCGCAGAGTATTTGGCAAACATGTAGCTAATTATATGTGCACGGTGTACAATACATATTTATACATACCCGTCTGGACCGATTTTCTAGAATGCACGAGGTCGACCACAAATCGGGTGCATATTTTATTTGGGTTTGTGCTCCTTGATTTTTTGTTGGCTCGTGCATTCTAGAAAAGGCTTTTTTTTTTGGGGGGGGGTTCGGGGGTTGATCACGCAGCTTTAGCTGGGTGATGAAGCTTGGAGCTTGGAAGTGCATTTAACCTGATTTTGTAGGTTTTCCCTTGGTGCATTTTTAGCCAAACTGTAGACATCCCGGCCGGCCCCGCAACATTTGCCAGCATTTGCTTGGTGTGAATTCAACGAGAAGTGTCAGGCACTCAGACGTTGTTGGGAGGGGGGGGGCAGGGCAAACATTTAATTGTTGTCAAGGTCATCGTGGCATTTCGCCTCGGAACTCTTCTTGTTGCAAGGGGCTAAGCCATGGTCTCAGAGTGCCGGCATGTCCATCACAGCATCACAGCATTGTTGCACTCCTGGCAGAGAACTGGGAGCCAGAAGATCTTAGTGGAAAGGCGTGGAGCTGATTTGCGAGCGCCCTTCTCAGCAAGCGGTTGGTGCATTTTGGCTGCATGTTCCAGGAAGCTGGAGCTCCAACACGCTCGCCAAAAGGCCCGGAGATTCTGCAGTCGTAGCCTTGATAAAATGCAGTACCAACATTTCAAGAGGTTGTTCTGGGCCACCCCTCACGATGAGACACAAAAACCGGCGCCACGTTTGCATCGCAGCTTGACCTGAATTTTCAGATCTGTTCAAGGTTGTCCGTGTGAATTTGCATTGAGTTTCCATGATGACGGCAGGCGCGCCCACAACGACAACTTGGTGGCCTGTCTCATCACCGGCCAGGGCCTCAAGTTTCACTGGAATTCTGACCACAACATGTTGGCACGTGCAGTCTGCCTGGCAACCAGGTCAAAACCAAGCTTCGATCGCACGCAAACCTTGGCTCGCTGTTCTTGTCTAAAAGCTGTGAGCGCCTTGGGCTGGAAGCGCCGTGCAATTGCGCAGTCCCCTTCTAATTGCAACGCAGATGCATTTCATCCAAGGTCATTGTGGCATTTCGCCTCGGAACTCTTCTTGTTGCAAGGGGCTAAGCCATGGTCTCAGAGTGCCGGCATGTCCATCACAGCATCACAGCATTGTTGCACTCCTGGCAGAGAACTGGGAGCCAGAAGATCTTAGTGGAAAGGCGTGGAGCTGAGTTGCGAGTGGCCTTCTCAGCAAGCGGTTGGTGCATTTTGGCTGCATGTTCCAGGAAGCTGGAGCTCCAACACGCTCGCCAAAAGGCCCGGAGATTCTGCAGTCGTAGCCTTGATAAAATGCAGTACCAACATTTCAAGAGGTTGTTCTGGGCCACCCCTCACGATGAGACACAAAAACCGGCGCCACGTTTGCATCGCAGCTTGACCTGAATTTTCAGATCTGTTCAAGGTTGTCCGTGTGAATTTGCATTGAGTTTCCATGATGACGGCAGGCACGCCCACAACGACAACTTGGTGGCCTGTCTCATCACCGGCCAGGGCCTCAAGTTTCACTGGAATTCTGACTACAACATGTTGGCACGTGCAGTCTGCCTGGCAACCAGGTCAAAACCAAGCTTCGATCGCACGCAAACCTTGGCTCGCTGTTCTTGTTTTAAAGCTGTGAGCGCCTTGGGCTGGAAGCGCCGTGCAATTGCGCAGTCCCCTTCTAATTGCAACGCAGATGCATTTCATCCCAGCGAGCCCAGGCTGCAGGCTTTGCACTGGCGTGGGTCTCAGTGGTCTGATCGTCATAGGACAAAGATGGGAAAATAATGAAAAGGAAACAGTGGCCGGTTTCTAGTGCCCAGGCGAGTCCTGCTCTTCCATTTTCCAGTTGTTCTGACAAGGCGTGCAGCTGAGTTGCGAGTGGCCTTCACAGCAAGCGGTTGGTGCATTTTAGCATATTTTAGCTGCATGTTCCAGGTCAGAACGACACGCTGGTGGCCTGTCTCATTCCAGGTCAGGCCCACAGTGAGCTGAACTGCATGTGGCAGTCAAACAGGTTTGGTTCTGCATTCTATTAGCTGCATGCTGTGTCTTTGCTTGAGGCGTCCCAGCCTGGACCTGGATGTCTCAGGCTGGTGGCGTGGGTGACGCGGCGCGCGCTCCAGTTAATCCAGTTGTTTGCCAGCTTGCCGCAGCCAAGAGCGGTCAAACATAATCAAACCGTGGGAGGGAAGCATGAATGTCCTTGGCAGCCTTGGGAGGGTGGTTGATTTTGATCGTCTCAACCTGTTCATGAGCGAGCCAGCGCCCAAGTGAATCTTGCTCTTCCCTTGCGTTGCTAACCTTCTGCTTTGCTGCTGAGGGCGCAGAACCTCGAATGGCATTTCCAGCAGCAGCTGGGAATGGCTTGTCCAGCAGGTGACTTGCCAGGGGCTGAAAGACTTTTCTGTTTTTCGGCTTGTTTCTTGCCTCTGCCCAAGGTTTTCTCGTTGGGTGCAACTTGCGGAGCATGACTTGCTGTCCAGCGTCCAATTGGTGCGGCCAGGGTCTTGGAGGTCCAAAGTCAAGTCAACGTGTCAGGCCAGCGCATTGTTTGCTGACAGGTCAGGGGATGGGTGGGTGGCCAACTGCCCGACTTGCAACGTGGACCCCACCTTGGTGCCAGGCCCTCAGATCGCGCAAGGCATTTTGTCTCACGTTGCACACATGTGTCAGGCAGATCATGGAACTCCTGGTTCAGAAGGCGCGGTGTGTTGTCAAATGTGAGACACCACAATCTGACATAGGCAAGTGAGCAACGCCGCAGAGGAGACCAGCTGCCGGTGCCGCAGATGTTCATGACTATTGGCAAGGCAGGTTCCTTGAAGATGTGATGCGCAGCTTCGGCGCTTTTTGGCCCAGTTCATTGTCACTGTCCAGCTTTCCCACCATGACCCGCCTTATGTGGACGACCGGCTGTCAGCTCAGCAGCTGGCATGCGTGTTTACGATTGATTACGTGGCATGCTTCGCGCATCTTGGCGCTGAGGCCTGTGTTGAAGGGCCTTTTTTTCCAGCCGCTCCTGGTGATAGACCTTGCCAAAAGAATTTCTGATTGCCCTGGCAGGGAGATCACTTGGGCTGAAGCAAATGTTCTGAATGCTCCATTGCCAACAAACAGAAGACAGAGAAGGAGCAATCGCTGAGTTGTTTGTCCACACGGCTCCTTGTAAAGCCTACAGAGAATGTCTGCAGCCAAAAAGGTCGTTTGGGCTTGCCTGGCTTGCTGTACAGTGCTGATTCTCTCTTGGCACACACAATGCTTCGAACCTTGCTGCAGGCAGTGATGCGGTCGCATCACAAGCCAGGATCCCAGAGTCTCGTCACGTGTGTGTCACAGCCAGTGGCCTGTCATGGTGCGTGCTGCAGTGCTGCAGGCAGGTCTGACTACAACATGTTGGCACGTGCAATCTAGAGTCCTCGTTGCCGCGCCAGCAACGCGGTGGCCTGTCTCATCACAAGCCAGGATCCCAGAGTCTTGTCACGTCTGCGTCACAGCTCGTGGCGTGTCATGGTGCGTGCTGCAGTGCAACTACAACAACTCGTTGCGCCGCAGGGCAACGTGGTGGTCACAAGCCAGGATCCCAGAGTCTCGTCACGTCTGTGTCACAGCGAGTGGCTTGTCATGGTGCGTGCTGCAGTGCAGGTCTGACTACAACATGTTGGCACGTGCAATCTAGCACGTTGCAATCTAGATGGTATTTTGGTATTGTTTGATTTTTATTTTTCGCGGTCCTACAGCGGCTATATTCGCAGGTTTTAACTACAAATGTTGGCCACGTGCAATCTAGTAGTCCTCGTTGCGCCGCGGGGTTGCAATGGAGCAACGTTGGTGGTCACAAAGGCTAAGCCAGGATCCCAGAGTCCCGTCCGTCTGTGGTAGAGCGAGTGGCTTGTCATGGTGCGTTGCTGCCAGTGCAGGTCGACTACAAATGTTGTGCATCGTGCAATCTAGAATGCTCGTGCGCTTCAGGGTTACCGCCAGCAACGCTGTGGCCTGTCTCGTCACAAGCCAGGATCCCAGAGTCTTGTCTGCTTCAGTGCAGGTCTGACTGCAAGTGCGTTACAGCTAGTGGCTTGTCACGTCCGTGTCGCAACTTGCCCCCGCCTTCCAGGTGTGTGACGGAAGCAGCCGCTCCAGAACGAGCCGGTCTAGCCCTCGGTGCTCATCGCTGATTTCTTGTTGGTTAAACTGCAGACATGGGCCTAGTTGGGAGAAGTGCATTTCATATCTTGATGCTGTCCTCCCTTTTGGCTGGAAAGGTTTGTCGGCCCTTCACTGTTCAGACATGGCAGCGTGGGGCAGCTGGGACCAGGCAGCCTGGAACGGCCAAGCGCGTGGCTGGGAAGACTCGGCCGCCCAAGATGGTGGGCCAGGCAGATGACCAAGACAGTGGAGCTCCGCCCAGTGGGCTCCCCAAGGCTTGTAAACCCACGGGTCCACCAGCAAAGGTGCCGCCACCTGCTCCTCGTGCAAAGCGGAGACGGCATCAGTGGTGGCCACGAGGCTGGCGCCAGGATGCGTGGAGTTCAAAAGGATGGTGATTCCCTTGCACTCCGTTGCGATCTCTTTGGAGGAGAGGGTGAGGACGTTGGAGCAGCAGGTCGCCAAGCTTGAGTTGCTGCTTGCAGAGGCCTTGCGCGACCGTTTGGCCAATCCTTCACAAGACGTACAAGATGTGGTGCTCAAGCCTGCAGAAGATGGAATCAACTTTGTCAGATCCTGCACGCT